CCCTAAGGTGCATGGGAAAACATAAGCACATTATGTCCAGGGCCCCCCCTGGACGCTAGCTGAAGGGGTTGTAGGATGACGGTCGGAGGGCGTAGCCGCCTTATATACTGCCTAAATGCAGTAGTCCCCATAGAATCCAGTAGAGGGCTCCGCCTATGCTTATATAACTAGGGTTACAATACGTAGCCCCCAGTTTCAATTCAATTAACAGTAACTTAGGTAATATTTTTACTTACTGCAATACGGGCAGAATCAATTATAAGTCCAACATTTCTGTTTTTCACCACACCTTGGCCCCATTCACTATTCAGTGATGCCGCTTTTTCTTTCAGTTTGGTTTTGTTTGACAGGCCTCCGTAGCAGGCACTGCACGTTTTCCTGCTCGTCTGATTTGGAGTCTGGCAAGCTGGGCAGGGCCTGAACTTAGGTTGAGTCATCATGACAAACAAGTATAGAAAAACAAAAACACAGAAAGGGACTAACAACAGAAAGATGCACAGATAAGACACATACCCAGGTCCACATATAGAGATACACAGACAGCAACAGAGACAATTTCACTACAGCAAGGACGGGGAGACGACGGGGACGTGGCTCTTAAAAGTGCCTTTTGCATTTATGCTATTACAGCTTATAGTGGTGTTTAGCTTTCACTGAGAACTCAGAAGAATCTGTTGAGAGAAGAAAAAACAATTAGGAATTGCACCTTACATTTTACAGTGGAATTATCTTTGTGAAAGAATTAACAACATCAACATAGCATGATTACAAAAAGACAGTTTTGAGCTATGGTAACATAGGTAACTGGAAATATATTATTAATGGCAACCATACAATTCCCTATTACTGTAACCTGTGAGCTCATATCTGACAAATAAAGGTCAACTAATATTTACGGGGCTTGGCATTAGTAGGACACCTGTCATGGACATGAAGGAATATTTCTGAACTTTTATGATTAGGCTATTTAATTTTTTGTATTGTTGTGTCATTCATTTAATCAACTCCAACCCCATTAAAAACATATAGCTGTCACATAATAAATACATTCATAAACAATCACAAATATTATTTCATGCAATAACAGGTGTCAGTCGTTTGCCACCTTTTAAATAAAGTTGAACTTCAAAGGCAACACACTCTGTGCTAGCTAATATCTAGTAGCAACTAGCTAGCATTCAGCACATTTGATGCAGTAAGTTATACTTTTTTTAATGTCTTCAAATAATTTACAGGCGGAAAAAACGACTACCCTGCACTTGCAAATGTTCCAACAATGACTAATTGGTCCGACATAAGGCTGTTTGTACTGAATATTGAATGATTTTCTTGATTTCATTCACATGTTCACTGTGTTACTTACCTAGTGGAAATCGCAATGGGCTTTAACATTGTCACATAGATGACGTCACAAAAAGTTTCAGGAACACTGAAGCATCTGTACAAAAGTTATACTACGTAATGCCATAAATGTGCATAAATATAATGGATTGAATAATCAGACACATTTTCTGGCTATATTACGTACGTCCCTACGTAAATAATTCATTACCCAACATGTATCATCTCAACTTCAAATAAGAGAAAAAAATGCCTATAAGCCCATTATGTTGCCTAACTGTCGCCGAGGCCTATCACAGAGCGTGACAATTTAGTCATTTTTTATAAACAATATATAAAGAGTATAATGTGTTGTAATGACGTCTCGCACGATATGCTTCAGCTGAGAACGGAATGCGCTCGTTGAATTTCGATGCAGCGGGGAGCGTTCTCATGGCGTCTATTATCAACGCTATTGGAGGTCTATGAAGGTGTATGGGACGCCCTGCCCGTTGAAAACTGACGCTCGAGGGGTACTCAGTGCGTAATAGGGTGACGGGAAGGAGACCTGACCGATCGTCAATATGTGACGAGTTGGGAGTGAGAACGTGTTGATTCAAGAGCGTGCTCTACTACACCCGTCCCCCCGTCAGTGCTCGCAACATGTGAGTGACAACTTGTGTAGACCCGGGGGGGCTCATGACACAATTTGGCATAGGGCCCCAAGTTGACCAGGGGCATCTCCCCCACCCACATTGTTGCTGTTGTGAACGGTGTTGGGGACAAACTCAGCTAGGTAAATGGTGATGGGATAATGTAGCACCAGTCTTGCTCTGGGCTGTGGAAACACAACTGGGGCTAAAAATAAGAACCGGTTCGGAACCAGAAAAGCACAAGCACGGAGCTAGAACTGGAACTGGTTTGGTGGAAGAGGGGCATTAGAGAGAACTCAAGTTTTAAGCACCCCGGCATTGGTTTCACGTTTGAGGTTACTGCTAAGCACTGTACTACAAACTAACAATTTATTTCTGTTGTTCACACTATTGAGTGTCTATGTGTCCTCTGTCCTTGAATGGTTTGGAGAGATCATTCTAAAGAGATTGTGCTTGTCCAGAAGAAAATAAATCCATTAGGTCTGGTGCCAGCAAAAGCAGCAACCACTGGCTTTGGCTGCAGAGAGAGGACACAACCTGGGTGCCCAAAGTCACCACTTGAAAGAGGAGGATATGGAAGGAGGTCAATCAACAGCGAAACAGCTGTTAAACAACTGTTGGGCTGAAGCCTTGATGGAAGCAAATAGTACAAAAACAATATCAGCATATTGTGATCAATAATATTGTGATGTTGTTTAATAGACAACGTTTTCTAAAAATAGCATTCTTACTCAACAGGTATAAAACAGTTGTAACTCGGTGTCCCTCCTTTGTTCTGGGGATTGTCTCGCCTTGTCCAGGTGCTCTCCTGGGTCAAAGTAATGTGCTTCCTTGCGCAGCTGTTCGGCCACCTGTGGAGGTGAGACAAAAGAGAAAGAGGGGGGGCGGGCATAAACAAAGAGAAAATAGGAATGCACAAGAATACTGAGATGGGAAGAGAATATATATTTGGTAAAAACATTGGCAACAATTGCAGCTGAGAAGTGAAGGGCCTTTGCATTGTATTTCTCTGTGTTTCATCAACTAATGATAAAGCCGATAATTCAAAAAAAGTACACAAATAAAAACCATTACGTAAAAATGTATGCTAGGGAAATAATGCATCTGATGGAAAGACTTGGGACCTACATTTCTAGATGATAAGATATGACTTGGTCAAGAGGATTGCCAGCCAGAGTCTGTAGTACAGACAGCAGTTGCAAGGTTGAAAGTTGTTGGCATGGTACAGAAACCTTGCATTTATTTGATACAAGACCACTTCAGAAAAATATCTTCAACGGTTCTCTGTACGGGAGGTGTTACAAAAGCCATGCAGTGTGTTTGCCTTCTACTTAAACCTTCCTACACTCTATGTGGCCCAAGTGTTCTCCTGGTAGTAGAGTTTTCCTTGACTTCTGAACTTTACAAAAAGCTGAGTCAAGAACACTATAAACTGTTTTTTGAAAGGAAAATATAGTCTTATATCAACCATTATAAATAGTTGCAGTGCCAGCAATATAATCGTAATGTCCTAAGCAGTGTTGTGCTAGTTACTAAAAACCAGTAACCTTTACTAGTTACTTCATTTCAAAAGTAACTCAGTTACTTTACTGACTACTTACACCCAAAAGTAACGTGTTACTGTGAACAGTAACGTGTTAGTTACTTAAAAAAAAGGGCTCCCATTAATGCCCTTATATCTTTCATTTCAGTACTGTTATTGCATTGGAGAATAATACAATCTGTTGATCAAGAAATAGCAATATAAATAGTAGAAATAGCATGCATGTGTTCTACAACATACCGTGCAATGGCTTTATCAACTTTTCCTTGGCTAGCAGTCCCTCGGTTAAAATCCAGCCGCTGTTGCTTAGGTGGAGGTGGAGTGGCGTCGGATGAGTCTGGGTCTGTGGTCTTAGCTTCGTCCCAGCATGTTGTTTCTGCGGATGTTTCAACAGATTTGAATTGCTGTTTTGGGCAGTAGATAGAATCTTTGACCCGCCAAGACACAACTTACATTTAACTAAAACGTTCTTTTCTTTGTGCTCGACAAAAGTGAAATAGTGAATTGACTCGACTTGAGCTCCGCCGCCACCATGATAGTCTTGTTAGTAAACACAAACACGCCCACAGCGCGTCTGGCTCCGCATGTGACACAGGAAGTATCTAAGTACATTTACTCAAGTACTGAAAAAATAACGGAGTAATGTACCATGTAGTAACGGTAACTGAGTTACTGAATTTAAAAAAGAACGCGTTAATCACAACACTGGTCAGGATACAGTCTGACAAGCATTATACATGTGCTTACAGTGAGATGTAGCATTAGATCAGGTACATGTTTAAAATAAAGACCATTAAAAGGAGTTAAAAAGCCAATAGGATTCCTATTTT